GTGATTGGCGATACGCGAATCCGCTTAAGTGCGATCCGTTGCATGGGACACCACCCTAACATAGTGCTACAAATGCTTTGAAGCAGTGATGCACATTTGGCCCCGGACGCCATTGAGAATCTGCCCCTTTATTTTTGCTCCACCAATTGACGCCGCTCTCAACTAGAGTCCTATATATAAAGAGAAGCGACATTGATGTCCGAGTTTCTGATTGGCAGTCTGATATGTATTCTGATTGGGTATCCTCTCCTAAGTGAAGCAGCCATATTGTGACCGCAGCTGTTTACACACGTGGCCGGTCGACCACGTTGTTTGCACTATTTAATGCGTTATATAAGCCTTAAGTAATTGGTAAATTTTTTACGGCTTAAGGGGATGCTAAAGTTATCCTACTTCACTTCATTTCCATTCGATGAAAAATCTCCGAATTGGATTTACGGATTGCAAAATTATTAGTATTAATATACAGAATTAAAGTTCGTACAAACAGGACCTCAGTTGTATCGGATTTTATGAGAAAATCGAAGAAAAGTTTAAAAATTCGCTTACTTTTAGCTCGTACAGCTGACACCTCAGGTCTATATTTGCTTCATACAAGAATTTTATAGTTTATATCTTGAAAATAAGCATACGGCTGAGGTCACATTATTGTAACGAACGATACCGAGTTTGTAGAACTAAGATTGAAAGTCTAGAAGAAAAGCTTTTTCACCGAATGGAAAATACATGTATACGGATGCTTTGCGAAGACTGGGATTGTCAATAGAGCCGAAATTCCGTGTAGTAATAGTTACGCGGTCTTGCGATAGGTGGTGCTGGCATATGTTAGATAAGGACAGATGTATGCGTTTAAGTGAGATAGAACGATATATAATATAATGTAAGAAATGAATCAAAGATGTCACTATTATCGAATTTGGAATTAAAAAAGTCTACACTATCGTTCTCGATCAAGCTCGATAATCAGTTTAAGATCCCCTTAAGGCTTAAAGTATCTATTGTAGATCTAAAGTAATGAAATACTTTAGAGCTCTCACTCCGCTAATGGAGTACAATGTTGGTGGTTGGAGTATGTTTATGTTTACGACACTGGAGCGGTCGAAACATGGCGGCTTAGGGATTCGATCTGGTGGTGGGGGTTCGATGTCGCTTCTCTTTATATATAGGACTCTACTTGAAATTAAGACCGGATTATGGATTCCGACCTTTGACGCGGTCTGTGCATATATGGCGTTGGAACAAATCGCCTTCCATATTGGAAAATCATAGTAAAGAAAACAAAGAGACTGACGTATCAATTGTAATATGTTTTTGTAAAAAAATGGTGGCATGCAGCGTTAAGGAGTGTAACAATTGCAGAAAATGCGAAAGTAAATAAATAAAGTTTTTTTTCGTTTTCAAAAGATAGTGACATTGCGGCAAAGTGGATGAAAGCTTGTAGCAATGAGATTAACCTCAAAAGTAGTAGATATATAAATTAAATATTA